CATGTGCAATGTGTAAAGAGAATTTTACAACTTCTACAGCTGTTCACCACATGTGGGGCTGCATGGGGAAAACAAATACGAGCTATGAATGGTCCCCAGATTATGCCCCTCTGAGAGATGTATATGGTTACAGTAAAAAATGTACATTTAGCGTTGTTAATAAAATACTAATAGTTACCAAGGTCTAAGTTTTGAGTAGTACAACAAGCCTGCATTTCAAAAAGTACACATAGAACAAGAAAATGCAACTAAACTGCTGGATAGGTTAGTTTGGACTCTTTTTTTACACACAGAAATTCAACAAATAGACAAAATCGATATAGGTCTTAGTGTTACTACTTAGGATAGGATTTACTCTCAAACATCCACTGCATGACCTGTAAGCAGAAAAGGCAGCAGCCCAGTCAGATGTTTTATCTGCCTTTTGCTAACTTGACCTAGCAGATACTAACTGCCTTTCTGCTGGATGAGTGCTTTTGTTTGTTGCCGTTGCACTTTTTAACATAAAAGGTAAAAGAAATATGTTGTATCTGAAAAATCACTCTTTGTTTTGGTAAAAAAGTTTCCTCAACCTATGGTAAATAAGGCTGGTTTATCATTAATGTATGGGGGATTTATTATGCAGCTGTTAGAAAATTACCTTTGTAATCCCTTGTGCACTTAAGAGAATTTGATTCCTTTTACATTTCTAATATTGAACCTTTTGAACCAAGGAATTAAGTGGTTTTCTCTTCAGGGATCTGAACTCCATCCCATACAATGAAATAGAACTGTGGTTGAATATTTTTAACTTGAAGAAGTAAAACCATTTACAAAATAATGGTCAGCACAATACAGTTTCTACTCTGGTGTATTTACCTCACACATACAAGTATGGATATGTAAGGTTCCAATTCTAATGGAAGAGTCTCTGTGTTTTGTTTGAGAGAAGAGGACTGGGGAGAAGGATTCTCCAATCCCTTCATGGACAATCAGTGAAGTTCTCCCTAGCAAAGGGCCAGTACAAATCCTGGACACAACAAGGAGTCAAAATAGGAAGGAAGAAGGGCAGAGCAGTACATGAAAGCTATTTCTCTGCATTGGCATGGATTTTGACACTTTAAAGTAAAGACCTGGAAATGGTTTGTGAACTTGGATTCCCTTTGAATGTGAACATCTTAGAATAGTATCAGATACGTGCATTTGGCAGGTAGCAAATGCTAGTGCTGTCAGTGCTCTGCAGTATCTTCCATGTCAGTGTCTCTTGCCCATGTGTGTCCCTGAAGAGAAATTAGAGTAAAATTGTGTCCTTTGAGGTATTTGGGATATGCCTCCTTCAGCAGTTTAGGTTGGACCAGGAGCAGGCTTTGGAAATGAATCTCCTGGTCATTCCCACATGTAGGGCTTTGGTTTTTGAGGTGGTTTACAGTGTCAGAGTACACAAATGGGATTGCCTCCTGAGTAAAATTAAACTGGGACCAAGAACCTAACATGCTCCAGGAACTAATGGACATGCAGTCCCCACTGGAACTGGTTAGAAATAACTTCCAATAAGCTGTGTCTAGTGTAGATACCAGACTCTCAAGACATGTGATTTTATTCTGTAGATCCCTTCCTATTGTACCTGGCTAGCTGTTAATGGAGAGATACCCACAGCCTGATCATTAACAGCTCTTGCTTTAAAACAAAAAAGATTATGGGAATCTGCTCTCATGTCTCCATTCCTTCTGGAATGAATTACTGTTCATTAACGAAGTGGTTGGTCTATTTCATGGGAGAAACAAGATGAGACAGATGGAGGGCAGCCAGTGTTCTTTAGCATGAGGCCTTTCTCACCCTCATAGTGATAGTTTTGTGGTTTGCATATTAGGAAGTTTTCAATGTAGTTAACTATTCTGCTTCTGTTGCCTCTTGGTATCTAAATATTTTGACATCTAAATATCTAGATGTCTAAGAAATCTGAAAAAAATATGTTCTTTATCTGTGAGATAACAAAACCTCTCTGGTTTATAGATATTTCTTTCTCTCTCTCTGTACTTGTATAGATCAGTATATTTTCTAGGGTAGGCAAAGTTTTCCTTCCATGTTCTAAAAAGAGCACATTGTGTAGAAATTGTTTTTATATTTTCCCATTTTTTCTGCCCCTCCTTCCCCATCCCCCTGCAAACAATTGAATTAAACAAATGAAGTATCAAAAAGAAAATGTAAGTATATAATGTTTCTTTCTTCAAACTTTTGGGCTCTTACACCCTAGAGGTTGAAAACTCTTAGGTACCTTTTGGCTAGTTCATAAAAACATGAAGTTTTCAGTAAAAGTTTGGAAACCTCCAGATCTATATTGCTATGGTGGCCACCTACCATGCCAGCCTGTGAAGACCTTAAAAAAAAAAAATCAAGTGCAAATGAAACTCCCAGTCCTTAAGAGAAAATTAATCCTTCAGGCAACAGCAAAATTTGAAAGACCTAAATAGTAAATTTACTGGATGCATATATTTATAATCTCTGTTAAAGGCATAACTTGCCTTTGATTGTTTCCTTTGTCTGTGGTTTTCAACAGCACTGAGTATGCAGTTGTGTTGCCTGTCTGCTAAACACAGGTGGTTTGACAGATGAGCAGGTTACAGGTGGCAAGTATAAGCAACCTGCTTTGTGCAAAAGGTTCTTGGCCTTGTGATACAGCAAGGCCTGGACTGTCCCTGCTTTTAAGCAATTTCCTCCTGATAACACTGGGGGCACTGGCTCTGACCTACTGAGTTTGCTGATGTCCTTCAGCTCATTATCACCTCATATTTGACATTGCCAGTTCTGTGCAAGTAATAATCCAGAAATACGTAAAATTCTTTTGAAGTTGTGCAAGGGAGGGAATGGTGGTGGCTTACAAGAAGCAGCTGTGGAAATTACTAGGGCTTGTGTTTGGGCTCATAGAGAGAATTATTAATGAAAATACAGCTAGCTGAATATACCTGGACTGCTTATGATCTGGTATTTCTCATTTTTTGTCTTCAGATATGTGCTATGATTAGGGGTGTTGGTCAGCTGCTTTTGAGTTATTTGTGTTGATTTTTATGTTGAAAAATTGTCTTTCTCCACAAGTCTTTTTCTCACTAGTGCAATCAAGAGATCCAAGGGGTCAAAAGACCTATCTTTTCCCTCAAGATTTGGTAAAGGAGCAGATGGAAGGTTGGGTTGTTTTTTCCTCCTCTGTCTCATTACTCAAGATCTCTCCTGATCTCTTGTACATATTTAGAGAAAAGAAACTTGCATTAGGCTTTTTTAATGTGTAAATGGCAACAAAGATTGGATTTTTATAGCAATTCACGCACTAAATAATTGATACTTCATGAATCAATGTATGACATGAAAGCCTTCCAGAAGCAAATTATGTATCAGAATAAAGTGTAATACATATATATATATATATAAAATATATACACATATATATGTATATTACGTATAATATATGTATTATATGTATATTACATACATATAATAGATGTGTATATATTACATACATACACATCTATTATATGTATGCACTTGCCTTACATCCCCATCCAGACTCAGTGAAGGACAGTTAGGTCTGATAGGTTACATTCCCTGGCACGTGTCATTGTAATTCCAAGGACGATGAAAAAACAAGTGGGAAAAACAAACAACTATGCAACATAAGGCATTAGTCAGTAGCAGTCTAAAGTAAAATAAAGATTGTCATGTATTACAGATCACTTGGAGGGATAAAAATCAGAGCTAATACTTGCATAAAGACTAATTCTCATATACACAAAGACAAAAGAATACGTTCTCTGAAAGAGTTAATGCTGCACTGTATATTTGAAGGAAAAACTTTTATGTTAATTCCCAATTCCAGCTGGATCTAAACTGTAAGTCCCACAGGAAAGTATAAAAATAAGCCCTTTTACAAATTTGTTTTGCAATAGTATTTGTAATTTCCATTGCAAAAGAAAAAGAAAAGGTGTTTTCTCCAGGAGCAGTGCTAAACCTAAGCACAGAGCAGCAGTGCAGAATTCCTTCTTCAAGTCTTTGGAGTTTAAACAAGAAATAATTTGGGTCATGAGCAATGCATTACTTGGTAATTCTCAAATCCCAAAATTTTGCCACAGGTTGGTACTTAAGTTTATATAGCTAACAGGTTTAAATAGGTGACTTTTTCTTGCAGGGAGCATGTTTGGAAACACACTGTAACCTGAAGAGGGGCTCACTTTACGGCTTTGCTTTAAAATGTGACTACCTATATTGGGCTTCAAAAATATCACACAGTATCACCTCATAAACATCTCATGACCTCCTTCTCAAACTTTAGAGAAGTATCAGTTTAGAGACTGATGATAAAACAGAAGATTTATTCAATAAAGTAAGGACTTGCAACTTCTGGTTTTTTTGTTTGGTGGGGTTTTTTATGTGGCTTTTTAGGTTTGATTGTTTACTTGATATGAAATTTCATTGGTAAGTGTAGCTAGATTCTGAACATCTAGCCAACCTATTCATTATGTGACAGAAATACAGCTGAAACAGTCTTATTTCATGCATTTTTACTCTGCTGGTTAAAATTTACTTCATGAAATATAATGACTATCTAGTAGCTTGATTTTTGGCTCTGCTTCATCTGTGAGGCAGACTGTATATAAATCTCCTTCCATTTCTTTATCATGACCCATTTTATCATGTCCTTGCAATTAAATCAGATTGGGAAGAAAAAGAGAAAACCAGATCAGCTAAAGATCAAAAGGGCTAGAAGAAAATGTCCAAGACAAATAATTATACCAGTGTGTCAAACTTCAATGCACAGTTACACCTTCTCACGTCCATTTCAGTCACTTACCTTTGCTTATTGAAGTTGTTAGCACTCTATGCAGAAGCCTTGTTTTGATGTTTTTCAGTAAAACATTTGGCACCCTGTGGAATTATGCAGATAAAAACAATGAATTAATTAGGAAATTGCAGACATGAAGAACCTGTGATACTTTCATCTTGGCTACAAAGAATTTCACCCATAATTTGGTTTTAGAAACCACAAGCATGCCACATGAACTTCAAAACAGAATACAGCAGTTTGGAACCCAATTCTGCAAACCACAGGTAGTTTTAGCCATATGTATAGTTCCATATTTTAGGTATTAGAGGGTGAATATCAGTTATTTAATATGTTGCATCTGATAGTACATCTTATTACATAATTGGTATGTGTCTAAGTTGTGGGTGTGTATGATCAAATATTGTTGAAGAGCATTGTCTGAAACTGAACAGTTTAAAGTAATCTACTGACTTTTGTCTATTATATTTTGCTTTGAGCTCTAAACAGACAACTGCAATATGAGGAATGGGATCCAGCCAGAAGAAAGTGATTGAACAGTGAAGGTATGTTAGTTTCACATTTGCTCTGTTTGATCTTTTGTTGATTTTTTCCTTCTCTCATATAACCTCTTTCTTTCCTCCCTCTTCTGCTCTTTTGTGTTTGCATTTGGTAGGTTGAGGGCCTATAAACATCTTATCAGAAAAATGTTGGAAGGAGGGTAAGGGGCATATCAGAGTCAAGAAGAGTGCTGGGTATAGAGGAGCCTGTGTAAGGCAGGCAGGGGAGAAGAGGAGGCACAAAAGAGAAGGATAGTCTTGCTGGAGGGTTTTGGTCTTTTTCCTTTCTTTTTAAAATCTAAAATTTATAAGAATGTGTTATTTGAATTGGATATGTAGCCTCAGGTTTGAGTTTAAAACCCATGGTACCTTCCAGGTTTGTACTATACATGACTTGTCCATGTTTGGAATTATTCCAGATTTGCTGCTGCACTTGAAATTCACTCCCTGCCTTAATCCAAAGTAACTTTCAAGTGTAGACAAGCCTAGCAGTTCAACACTAACATTTACTTACCTTTAGCAAAAGTTTTAGGTGTTCAAGGAATGCAGGATCATTTAGTAAGGAATGTAGAATTTTACCTCATTAGTTTGTATTAATGACTTATTTCCTAAGAAGCTTTTAATGGCTTAATTACATTAACTGACCCTTCATATTAAAAGTGGTTGGGTAGAGTCATATGACTAAAACAATGGAGTTAATGTAATGCAGCATAAGAACCCATACCTAGTCAGCAACCTATGGTTATTGCTTCTAGACCTTTCTTTTCCTTGCTTTCAGTGGCACAATAAATCAGCTTAAAACACAAAGCTAATTTAAAATAACAACATTTTACCTCAGAGAGGGACAGAATGGATGTGCTGGTCAATGGCTGTACTGATCTGAACATACTCCCTGTGCTTGATCCCAGTTCTAAACCTATCTTATGTACAAGATATCCCTTCAGGATGCCTATTCATCCATTTGGGTTTTGGAATTTAGTGAATTAGCATGCTTACTATTTTCTGGACTTTCAAAACTACCAGAGGTTCTGTAGTGGTTCTTAGTGGTTCAAGACATGGCTGCTGGCTTGTTTTCTGGATCCATTGTTATTGGCTTAATGCAGAATATGATCCATTAACTTAAAAGCAAACAGGAACAGCTCTTAGGACAGTATGGTCCTTCCTAGCTGTCTTTTTCTTTTCTAATGCTTTATTGGTTGGAACAACCTTTTAGCCTTGAAAAGATTCTAGATACTGTATGAAGTAAGAGAGTTTTGTGATAATTAGTCCTTACTAATGTCCAGAAATAATTTCTGAGATCTTAAAATACTTTATGACAAGAAAACATTTTCATACCAAGATGCTTGTTTATAGAAGTCTCTGTTTTCAATTAGAATCTCCAAGTCAGTTTGGAAATAAACGTTTTGTAGAGCTGTTGTGCCCTTCATTTCTTTTGGTGGGGGAAGCAGGTTTAAATAGTGCTATAAAGAGGTAAGCGATCATCAGATGCCTAATCCAGCAGCAACTACTGAAAGTGCCCTTGGGCTCGTGGCAGTGGGTCCATCACAAGAAGCTGTTAATTAGCAGGCAGTGTATTCACTGCCCCATCAGTGACAGCACACAGTCCCAGCTCCACGTTGAGTCCCAAGGCCCCAGTCTAACGTCAGCCCAGAAGGCAGAGTAGATTCTGTGCTTATTAAAACTGTGGAAATTTCCCAGGCAATGACAGGTTTAGTGCTAAAGTTTTGAGAGCAAGTGAATCCTAATTCTCCTTTCCAACCAAACTGTTCTGTGATTCTATGAATATAGAACGATACCCAAATGAATAGCCTGGGAAGGATTAGTTAGTTCAGCTTGGATGCCATGTTAACAGATTGATGCTGCTCCTGGCTTCTCAGGGCAGGTTAGGGTTTTATGGCCATAACATGAAATGAGTAACTGAAACTAGTCTACAACTTTTGGGGAGTAGTAAATGGGTAGTTGCTATCCACAGGAGTATCCCTACTGTATTTTTTGGGAAAGGAGGAAAAAATGAAAACTGTGATATTAATAGTTTTAACAGTGCATATTTTAAAAGATTTTACATTTACTTAGGCCTAATTCTGTAGCACCACACCATGAAAACCTCTAAACCTCCTGCAAAAGTGAACTGTCACAGCCTTCATGCATCTTAGTGAGGACAATACATTACATTGCTGGATTGGAGCAATGCCTGCTAAGTGAAATAATCCTGCCCAGGACTGAAGATAATCACTAGATCAGCAAATACTTAAAAAGTAAGTAAATTGTAAATTATGTATATAATTGTGTTCCTCAGCTGCAAAGATTGAACACTGTAGTTAAGATTGCAGGAATTTTCCATGGTTTTAAGAGGAAATTATGTGGTTTCTGTTTATTCTGCCACAAAATGTAAAAGTAAAAAAAAAGCCAAAGCCAACTGTATATCATTATGTTCCTGGGTGACCCAACCCACGTGCCTAATTGTACTTTATGTGGCAATTTGTCATGGCTTCAGTCTTTGAATATCATGTACATCAACTGAGTTACATATTAGTTCATAACTAAAAATCTGTGGTTTTGTGTCTTAGTCTTGAACTTTTTCAAACACCAGAACAAGTGGTGTTTGCTTTGCTCAAGGATGCTGACTGCCTAACAGAATTGGTTCCATGGACAAAAACCATTTCTTACCAACATCAGTGAAAATGGTGAAAATAATTTGGCTAAGGTTAGACCTATATAGAAACAATTTGATTTTACAAAGGCTTGTGCATACACATTTGATGTCACATACTTGAACAGCTCTCATGGCTACTTATTTGAGTGAACCTAATCTGGTTTATTTAATCTTTGCAGGATTGGGACCTCAATGAGTAATTAAAATGAAAATAATGTGTTTGCTTAAGTTTCAATCCCATTTTTAATCAGCAGTCTGGAATTTTAGCTAGCAGAAATATAGCAGACACACAATATGCCTTGAAATACATATATTGCTGTAGAATATTAGTGTTCTTCTTTGTTGAAGGGACTTCCCCCACCTCCACATCCCTCTTGCAAAAATTTTGTGTCCTACATATGAGAGTGATAAGAGAGGAGGTATGTCATGCTCCAACATGCACAACTTTTCAAACACTAAAAATAAATAAAAAGTTCTGTAAGTGAGCTTAGGCTGCCAACAAGCAGTCTGAACTTGTATTTTACTTGTTTCTGCAGGTTTTTCTCCGGGTTTTGTAAGCCTGTTTGCGAAAATATTTAATGTAGACTAAATGCTTGTTATTTGATTTACTTTGATTTCCTTGCTAGACCTCTCATATACAGGTAATGTTGTTTTGAGGACAGGTCTTTGGGGGACCCAGCCATTGACTGATGTGTGGTGCATGCAGCAGAACTGTGAGTAAGGCTTGTCCAAACACAAAGAGGTCAAAGGTAAATGGCAGTGGATTATTCTAGGTTGTGAACTGACATTTCAAGAGTGGCTAAATTGTGTCTGAACTCTTGTAACACTCCTCTTGGGTAGATGTAAGAACTTGGCATTTGTGACTCAGGGAAAAGGGCCTGAAGTCAAAGAGAATTATGAAAGAATCAAGTCACCTCTAATCCCCTCAGTAAGAAAGCCAATTAAACTAGTAAAATTTTGCTGAGACAATGTAGAGATATACAGGAGTGGAGTAGTTCTACTCCTCTCCACTTCTCTCTATCTCCACATTATCTCCATGCCTACAGAAGAACAATTGCTCACTTGGATAATAATAGGAGTAGGGCTCAATTTTGTGATTGGAGTTTTGCTAGAATGATGTTTGCCAAGTTCTAGTACTGCTCTCATTACCATGACCTTTAGAGGACATAGAGGTTTGAGAGAGCACACACCTGATGTTGCAGGACTCTGTCAGAAACTAACTCTGTTCATCCTGCTGAAGGATGAAGTTGTGTATGGAAAGGCCTCATCTGTGGTGTAGCTCCCTTAACGCCAGTTTGCTCCACAACTCGATAGTCTTGAAGTTGGGGGATTTGACAACCTTAAGCGTGCCTTCTGCACTGAACAGCACTTTCTGTTATTTCCTAGTATAATGAACCTCGAGGGAACTGGAATAGTTTGCTCTGCTGTAAACGATGTCAGCTCTGCGGTGTTGGCCAAAACTGGTTCAGATGTGG